TGCAACTCTGCGAGCAACAGGATGTTTAAATAGTTTCGCTTTATAGTGGTTGATCCAACTTTGGAAAATTCAGGAGAGACCGACGCTGGGAAGTACAGGCTGCTCTGGAGTGGCCACAGTTCACTGTACTTTCAGGGTGTCGCAATTACACTCCGCCAGGTAGCTGCCTCTCTGGTCACCTGGAAACCATTGGGCCCTCAGCTCATCGACACCAGACTGTGTCATACCTGCAGCTTTGTATCCATCTTCTGCTGCTATGACCCAACTGAGATGGCTGATGACACGGACAAGGATGTTTTCTACGACTGCTTGCAACATGAGCTACAGCGGATCTCCAAGCATGATGTTACCATTGTGCTGGGCGATTTCAACGTGACTGTTAGCGCACAGGCTTCAGGGGTATCCTTCGACCGCACTGTGGTGGAGTGGCGAATGACAACGGCTTTAGAATCCTGGGCTTATCTGCAGCCCCAAACACCAGAGCTGCCTTTAAATGCATCCACTCACTGTGCAACAATGACAAATAATGACAACAATGACAAACAGTTCTGTTCCCCCTCCCACCCATCAAGACTGCAACTCTGGAATGAACGCTATTCTGCATCTCTTAGCAAACCCCCATCCCCCTGCCAATGCCCGTGTGGCCGCAGGCCTTTGCAGATCGTGGTATGGCAGATCCTACCATCCACACTGATTCACCAACTGCGGAGGAGATTGCATCTGTGATCCAGAAGTTTCACAATGGAAAGGCCGCCAGACATGGCGCGATGGAATCATCGTTTCCCTGTTCAAAAACAAAGGTGGCTACAGGCCCGTCACTCTGCCGTCAGTACCAGGAAAGTTGTCACTTGGGTCATCCTCCAGCGGATTCTTCCTCTTCTCGTGGAGAAGCGCCTGCCTCAACAAGCTGGTTATACCCCCATCTCGCTCCACCACAGATTGTATTCTTGCTTACGCGTACTGACTGGGCAACGCCGAGATTTCCACCGTCCTCTTACACAGTTTATGTGGACTTAAAAGCGCCTGTGATTCTTTGGACCAACGAGCATTATGGCTACTTCTTCAGGGAATTGGCAATCCTCCAAAACCGCTGAGCCCCTTAAGGGCTCTGTACACCAACACCACGGATGTGTTGGTTGCACCGAACCACTTCAACGTTGCAATTGACTATTGGTTGAACAGGGCATTGGAGGTTTCGGCGGGTGTGGGTGTGGACTACCATGGCGCTATCATGGACCTCTGCTATGCAGATGATGTTGTGCTGCTTCCTGAGCTTGCTCAGACTGCAGTCCAAGTTCTTCAGACCATGGCCGTCGAGGCTGCCCCTCTTGGCCTGACAATAAGCTGGGCAAAGACCAAGGTTCAGACCTTTTCGGAATATCTGCCTCAGCTGCCGGCAAGCACGGACGTGGGCATTCAGCGGGTTGACACCGTGGATGAGTTCATCTACTTGGGTACAAAATTTGCCGGCTCCTGCTCATCTGAACCAGAAATTAAGAAACGTCTCGCTCTTGGTCAGGTTGCCTTTGGTCGTTTAAATCGGGTGTGGCGGAACACACGTATCACCATTCCAACCAAGCTCCGTCTTTTCGAAGCCACTGTGATTCCAACTGTGCTGTACGCATCGGAAACATGGACACCGTCTTCTTCAACTGCATCCACCCTTGACGTGTTACATTAGAAGTGTCTCCGCTTCATCCTGGGCACCGGGTGGTTTCATCACGTGCGCAACGAGGATGTCTATACCCGCTCTGGGAATCCAGTCCCTTCGTCGACTCAAGTGAGGCGCAGAAAGCTGCAGCTCCCGGGACATTTTGCTCACCTTCCTCGAGACGTCCCTGCTATACGTATGCTGGAGCTACGCTGCCTCCAGGGCCACCCTAACTGGCTGGCGACGTCCTTGTGGGCGTCTATGGGCAACCTGGTCGTCCCAGGCTACTACCCATGGCTCGTTAGAGACATTGCTAATTGCAAGGCAGGATAGAGACAGATCCAGAACTTGGCCGCAATGGTCACATAGAGGCCCATGCACGCCTTTAGTTTTAGTTTCAGGCTGCATAGTAACAGGTTATGTCTGATTTCACACGTTCTGATTGCCAAATGAGACGTCGTCTCTGTTAATGGATTTTCAGAAAACGGAGGACTGCTAGCAAAATGTTTCATAACAAATCCAAACTAGATTAATTATGTTGTTTTTCAGTAGCATTGAGTTTGTGCCCTGCCTCAAAAAAGTAAAGACAAGTGTGGTTTTTAAATAACCTCCAAATTATTATTTTTTTCCACCTGACAGACCTGAGTTGCCAAATTTGATCAATATCTATTAAAATGGAGTTTTCCTGGTTATAAAAACGAGATTCGTGTAAACTAGAAGACTGTCTTCATCGGTTGCAATCAAAAACTGGGAATCCGCCGGATTAAAACATTGTGAAATAAGTTTGAATTTGAGCCTAATTTTTGCGCCAAATCGTGTGAGTTTAGACATTTTGTATGGAAAAATCCGTCACATATCTCATCTAAAAAATTATTGCTTTGTCAAACTTTTGACAAAACAGGGATACCCATGCATCATACTGTAAGGGCAGACTTTGTTCTTGCGAGTCACGGCTCAATTGCGGTCATTTATGAGTGTTTACATATGTATGCATGAATGTACATGTTCATGCACACGTGCTGGGGCGGACGCGACGACTTTGACGTCTAGGTACCACACTGGTCATTGTCCACAGCAGCGCAAGTGATGAACAGAAAATGTCACTAATTTAACGATTCTACCTTATGAAATGGTATTAGTACCAACTAAATCGGTACAGTCTAGCAGAAAATCATTATTCGGGTGTTGGATATATCATTTTGGTAATAAAACTGGATACAAAAGGGCTCTGAATCTTCGTGCACCGTTGGATCAATACGATTTTGGGGTGATTCAAAATGACCTGATTATTAAAAATGTTATTCGGAAAATCCAAATAAATGCCTGAAATCAATACATTAAGGGTGAATCCTTAATATGATGCAACAATTTTGGCCCAGAAAAGCTATTTTCTATTTAAACATTAAATGATGAAATTAGTTCAAAATTTTGCAATTTAGATATTTTTTCGTTGTTATAGAAAGGTTCCGTAAAATTCACTTTTTTATACTGTTCTGAGATTTATCGATATTTAAAAATCTTACTAATGGAGGAAAATCGAGTTTCGTGGTGTCGTGTTTAGATCCTCCCGAAACTTATTTTTGCTGCTATTTGGTATTGTGCGAGGTCAGTCGTTGAAAAATTCCGCGTTTCCTCTGCTCACACTAGAAACCGTTCTTGTTTGCTTGAAAATGAAATGCGCATGCGCGCTCGTAATGAAGTTGTCTCTATTGGGCATGAACAGACACAAAGCAAAGCTCCATTGCTGCAAAGGAAAAAAGTGCCCTTTTATGGACTAGCGAGGGGCTTAAAGCTGTAGATAAGTTGCACTGTGACATCCTCGGGCAAATATTAGAGTGGAAATAGTAAATGAATGAAATAATGATTTCTAATAAACCTTGCACTCTGTAATACGCTTTCCTCGCTTCTTGACCCGTCGAACTGCTCATGATTAAATTTACATATGCATGTCTGCCTTTCCACGGAAAAAGTAACTTTGGGGAGAAACCACAGCCTTTATCTGTTCTAATCCAAACGTCCGGACGCAGCCTTGAACCAATGGCTCCCTGCACGTGTATTTGCTGATGGAGTAGGCGTATTTGAATGGCTATGCGGTTTAGCGACCTTTATTCAGTGATGTTGGTCAAAACTCGAAGTCATGGAAAGTGGGGTTACGTAAGCAGCGCTTGATTGCCCTCGTTAGTGTTGGTCGTCTGATTCCGAATGGCATTGCACAGTGAGGTTCGGTTGAAACCTCAAGTCACAGAAAGCTAGGTTACGTGAACGCTTGATTGGCCCGTCATTGTCATGAATCCTCTTAATCCGAATCACTGACAATTAATTTGGGGGGTTCTTTTAAAACGAAAAAAAAAAATTGAACGCTGTCAATGGGCGAGTTCGAGCTGCCTATTTTTGACAGTGGTTTCTTGTCCTCGCATACAAAAGGCGGGAACACAACCAAGAACACCGTTCTCGGAACAAGATCACACACAGCCTCCTCTTTACGGTTTGATCCAGCACACGAGTACTTACACTCGGTACTTACACTCGGTATGTGATTTTTAAATAGCCGCAGTGTAATTGCGAGAGTGCGGACAAAGGCGGATATGGTGGAAATTTTGGTAAACGAATGCTCCTATTAATGTTCCCCTAAAAGTTTTTCTATTACGCAACACACACTCAGGAAGTGTGCAATGACCACCATCTATATTACACAAAAAAGAATGCAGCCCATAGAAATCGAAACTTTAAAGTACTTGTAGAACGGACTCACGCCGCCATGTTGTTTGTCACGAACTAGGCTACCGCGCGGACGTGTATAATAAATCTAGACTCTCAATGCCCTTAATCAGCTTATGGAGTCATTGAATCCACTCGCAGCCATTTTACCGAGCCGAATACAAAGCTTTCCTAGCAATGCCCGCCTTTGTTCTTCCTGATGTCAATAGAAGGGAGCCATCTACCCTTTGTATTCGGCTCGGTAAAATGGCCGCTGGTTGGCTTCTTTTTCATACAAAGGCGTTGCAAGTCCAGGTTTTTTTACATACGTCCGTGGGCTACCGACGTTAACCAAAAGTTCGTTTCTGGCGTTTGACCGGCCTATCCTAGGCAAAACGAAACGAGCAGCTCGTGACGTACGAGAACAGCGCTCGAACTTAGCCAGGAGTCAGGGTCAGGGAAGCAGCGCCCTCACGTTTGAAAGGCTGTTCGATTTGAAACGATGTTCACAAGGCCACTTTTAGTTTATGCGGCTTTGCGAAACACCAAAATAAACACTGTGAACAGTCTCTGAAAGGATAATGCGGAGAAGACCGGCCAGCTTTGTGGAAGAATGAGTCGCTCGGGCCTGTGAGAGTACGTATCATCGGCCATGCGATCAACTGAGCACGGATCATCTAGCCATGGCAATTCTTCAGACGTCAGTGCACTGACTCTTCCCCCTGTTATCCAAGGCATCGCTCAGGCTGTCCTGGTCATCGTCATCGGTCTGAACGCGCTCGGCTATTCCTGGATTATAATCACCACGATCAGGTATCGCCAACTTCGGGTGGTGTCAAACTTCTTCCTGGTCAACCTGTGCGGTGCCGAGCTACTTTTCTGCACCGTCTTAGTACCTGTAGCTTTTGCGGTCGTCTTGCAGGGTGATTGGGACGTTAGACCAGCGGAGATCAACGCTGGCATCGCATTTATCTGCGTGCTCATCCTGTCTGGTTTCTTTCTCAGTGCGTCACTTTGGATAACCGACAAGAACGTGAAGTTGTTCAAGCCTTTGGCATACCCCCGTCTGGCTACCTTGTGTCACTTTGCCATTTCGACTGTGATTTGCTGGGGATCTGCGCTTCTCCTTGCCTCGTTTGTGTTCCTGGGTCTTGTCACCGCATCCAGCGCAAGTGTAAAAGCTGTTAGCTTCCCGACATTTATTCTGGGAAACTGGTGGGTTCTCCTTCTGCTTTTTGACGGGTTGGTGGTAGTCTGTGTTTCCTTCATAACCTTCTCAAACATAGCAGTGATCCGCCTGGCCTTCAAGCAGCACCGGAAGATCAACTCGGGGCGACTCGGCTCTGTGGCGTTCGTGGAGCCAGCAAGCCCAGCAGATAGACAGCAAGATTCGGTTTTTAACATCCAGTTACGGCCAAGCCATTTGATGTCTCGTCCGAGAATCGAGAGGGACGCCGCGGCCGGCCGTGTTAATGGGGACTTGCGCCGTCAGGGAGCCAGGACCGCGTCGCGTAGACTCTCGTTCATCATTTACGCCTGTACTTTCACAGTGGCCTGGTCGCCGGCCATAACTCTGGTCAACTTGCACGTCTTCAGCTCCATCGAGATCTCTTCAGCCGTGATAGGAATCAGTGCAATGGTTGCCGTAGGCCAGTCTTCTTTTGCTACGCTGGTTTACACACTGAAGGGCCAGGAGTACAGGGCTTATTTATCGAGGCAACTCACTCACATACGGCGCATATCTCAGATAAAAATAAACACGTGCTGTACAAACTGATCTTGTCACCTGACTACCGTTCAGGGACATGCATATTAAGGCTTAACCAGTGTTTCTTGAAACTGAACGAAAGTGCTCTCTTCGTTGGGTTATATTGAAGTACTTTTGTATATGGTTGGTAGATCAAAGGGGTATGCCACCCTTAGGGATTTGAGAATCAGGCCAGATAATAAGGTTTGAGATGGTTTAACAGCGTGTAAATGTGCCACAGAGATAATCAACACAAAATGGCTTGTCTACATCAACAAATTCAGAGGAAATAAACTATTACATGTGTGTGAGCTTTGCCCGTGTTTGAAACGACCTGTAGTTGCACGCTGAAAAACACGACTTGAATAAAGGCTTTAAGTATTGCAACTCCCTGTAGGTTACCCGTTAACACGATTTACAACAACACTCTGGCTGCCAGATTTTGGTAGCGTTGCTTGACGCTGTGATCTGGACGACCGATTATAGAACACTACATTCCTAAGCAATCTGAGAAGATTAATCCGACCACCAGAATTAGAAGCCATTACTGCATTGGCACAACGCTCGTGACAGGTGGTAACACGCGTACATGCCTCTCCGACCAATATGGGGTGCGTTCGATTAGCTTACTTGTGTAAGTCAAACTTACACGAGAGCGTTCGTTTAGCCATCACGTGATCTTTGTGTCTGCCCTTCTGTCAGCCACCACTAACCCTACTGGCGAGTGGGTCCCAGGAGGCTGCCCGAGTGTAATGACATCACGGATGGACTGTTCGAGCATGGACATCGTGGAACATGGCGGATACCTGCAGCGTTCGATTAGCCTCATTTCGAGGCTTCCCTTACGTGTAACACTGGTGTATTCAGGGAAGCTAATCGAACGAACCTTTGGTGTCGTGATTTGCCAAATACACGCCCGCGTCAAGCTGAAGAAAGTGCGTGTGAGTGCGGTGCCACCACAGTCATGGCGTCTAATCGGATTAGTCTATATCCATATATAGTTGTATGCTCGTACACAATTATGAATCCTGTAAGAATTAACGAACACGATACGTCTACGTTTTCATTCCACGATTTTTTTTGTACTGGCCCTGACTTACGGTTGCCAGATGCGAAAAGCCAAAATCCTGGTTGGAAAATGGAAACGCATGCCTGACCTAGGCGAACCAACTGCTTTCAGGCAAGCTAACAACCCTGGCGGAAACAATGGAGCTCCCATGAAATAATTTTGCTCGGACACCACAGCGACGTGCAAGCGTGAATACCCTAGCATCTGTCGTACTGTACCCTTTATAATTGTGACTACTCAACTGCTGCTCTTACGTGGGAAATATACAGATGTAGTCTTATTCGCCTTGGCGCTCAACCGCATAATTCAACATTTTACCCTTTAAACATTCACAACATCACTCAAGCTGCCAGATTTTGGTAGCGTTACTTGACGCTGTGAGCGTGGATGAATATTAAAGAACGGGTTGCTTTTATAACCACTTGTCGTTGGATGACGTGTTAACACGCGCATAGTTTTCCGTATTGTGCCACGGAGGACGCATACACTCAGTCGTTTAAGGTTTTTTTTCGTATCCGCGGTTGACGTATTGACAAATCGTGCTTCGTTGGGTCAAAGCATAGATGAAGATCATACACGCGGACGTTGCTAATACGGGAAGTGGACCCCTAATTCCAGTTGATCCGAAAAGGCTTTTCTTGGGTAATTAGAATTGAATTGGGGAACCCACACTATTTGGGAGAGCTAAAGCTTTATAAAGAGGCCTCCTTTGTCTGGGTAAAACCGATTTGTTAGAGAGCCTCCTTATATTATGGACGCCAGAAATAAATTGTAAGGATGAAGAGCTTGCGAAAAAATTCAGCCCCAGCAGTTTTTTGGGGGAAGAAAACCAGACATTAACTGGCTATATACCGAGAATTTTGAAACTGATATACTAAATACCTTTTAGTTCAAATTAGCATTACTTTTTATCAATCAAAATATGACCATTCTACGGTAGAAATTGCACAGGAAGTGTTGCAAGCTGCCTGGCAACTCAGTGCGCTTTGAACGGATAATTACCGGTTTCATTTTAGCTTGTTTGCCTCTGTGCGGTAATGGTCTTTCCTAATTCCATCGTGCAAAGTACTCAGAGTAGCTACGGATTGCCTGGCAACGCGATGCGTTCTGAACACGTTCTATTCTGGGTTGGATTAGTCATGAATCCCACAGCTAGCGCGGTATACTTCGGCAGCTATTTTCCACAAACTTGGCATTCGGTCCTCTTCCTCCCTTGAACAGAGGAAATAGACTGGAAAATTGTGAAACCTCGTCAATTTCTAGTCTAGTTGAAAACCCGTCTGGAAACAAACAAGGCCAAAATGGCGCCGAGTCAAGTTGCCACGGTGGGCAAATCAGAGTGCTTCTGCTTTGCAATTTAACAGGTGCAGAATGGTCCTTCCAATTATAAGCAGAGGGGGAAAACCTGGATTGTAACATTGGATTATAACATTATAACATTGGTTATGAACCCAATGAACTAAGCTTTCCAGTAGTAGTGAATATTTTAGTAGCAATTCTTAGCCAGATAGGTACCAAGTCTTTGAACACTGATATATTGGACGGAGGAAAATAAAATTTCAAACTTTGCATGGATAATGAAACAGTGTATCAACATTTTAAAAAGTTCATTTACGATGGCAAAAAGTAGGTCTAATATCAGGAATTTTTCTCTCTCTGTTTCCTGTCACATCGATAATTTGTATTTAATTGCAAGCAAAAAATTACAAGTATTGCTAAGATATTACTTGTCCCGCTTGTCCGGCTAAGTTGCAGGCAGTAATCGGGAATTTTTGGAACGTTTTCTATTATTCGTCCGACTCGGCGGCAACCATCGTTGAACACTTTGAAGTGCCCGAGTTGCAACTCCTTCTGTGTGCTTCCTCTATGGTTGACTTGAGTAACTCTGTCTCTCGTGTTCAGTGGTCAAGACATGAAAATTCTCGTAGCTTACGTCGGGGAAAAAAATGAAAGTAGTAGGGTTAGCTTAGTTCACACATTGCCACTTTTCAACATACATGTACATAGTGTAGCAGAATCAGTCTACAGATAACCAACAGACCTCTTCATTAACAATTCACAATTCATGATGCAACGCATGCGCGCAAATGGCCTCAGCTACATGTAGGAGGTCGTGGGTTCAAGTCGCACCCGAGTACGCTTGTGTTTTTTTTTCACAAGCCTTGGGTGGCATGCACTAAGTATACGCGTGTTAAAATACACGTCGGGCAGGGCAAAAAACTTCAAAATTAATTTCCATCTCCCCGGTGCAATCCATCTTTGAAAAGGGGTAAAGTGGGTTTTCACTAGTCCGAGTGTTAACACTCTTGTCGAGTGGAACTAAATAAGGGACTCACTCTTTTCGAGAGTTGATTTGGTTTGGTTTCACTCCTTTGTCTTTAACCCAGTTACTTTCTTTTGTAAATTTTGGGGGCAATTTTTGTCTTACTATTGGCGGCGTCCCTCGTTTTTAGTTATCCAGTTCCTTGCGACATTCAAGTTTCGTCGTACAAATTTTGGAGAATACACAGATGTTTTGAGACGATGCCTAATTTTGTCAAACCACATTGATAAGGAAAACCTAATTATTAACTGCTCATAAGTTAGGGAACGATGTGTATCACCTTGGAGAGTTTTTAATACTAACATGTAAGAAATAGTTTACAGCATTATCAGCGGTCGTTATTAATATATGTACATGGAATAATTTGGATAACGTAATAGAGGTTTTCTTATAGTTCAAGACATGATAATTTGATTGAACAATAATAACATTTCGTTCTAAAATACCGTATAGATTCAATAATATAGCCGATTTGGAATCGCTGCGTGCATCTGTTTTGTTTTGTTTTTTTTTTGCGGTTTGAAGTGGAATAAACGATTAGAGTATATATCGTTTTACCTTGCACCACTTTAAAGAATGGACATATCAGGGGAGATTTAGGATACAGATGAACAGGGTATAGCGGTGAGCTTTCAAGTCCAAGTTTACCTAATTTTTGCTGCCTTTTTTTCACAGCGACTTGCATCATTGGTCCCATCTCGGTCGATAACAATGTACGTTTCTCCATACTTTCATCCGTTCCTGGTCCAACCAAACGAAAGAGGCTTGACACAGTCCGAGTAGCAATTCGGCAGCTGAGGCCAGCCGGGAGTGCTGGCTGCGCCTGATGGATTCCGGTAGATCAGTGAAAGACCGTCAAAGATCAGGGAGCACCCCAGAAATGTTGGACATTTTCAAAATTGTCGGGTGATTCGGGAACAAATTTCAATTCTTGGGTTATTCCTGCTTGTATTCGCTACTAATTCTGGATACAAGTTTCGTAGAGTTATTCTTCACTCTAAAATCTCCCGGGTCAGATTGACCCAAAACTGGGTCTCATTCGGCATGACCCTTTTCCGGGTCAAATTATGATCCAGAAAGGGTAAAAAATGACCCAAAGGTTCAAATATGACCCAAAAGGGGGGGGTCATATTTTGACCCGGAAAAGGGTCATGCCGAATGGGACCCAATTCTGGGTCAATCTGACCCGGGAGTTTTTATTTAGAGTGTTGTTAAACAGTCCAGAATCACGCCGTTTCAATAACAATGTGTCAAGAACTGAGCGGATATTACTCAAATAACTCACAGATGCACTCTTATTTTTCTAGTTGGTATAATTCTGGGTCATTCTATCTGATTATGGAATTATTCATTTGTAAAAGTCCTAAAATTTGGTTTTATTCTGCACTAAATCGCAATCGCAATCATTCAAGCTCAATTTCGAACCAGTTATACGAGTTCTTGATTATTTTTTATTCATACCAATAAGCAATGGTGTAAATCCCGGAGGATGGGAGGGAATGTATACCCCCTTTTTGAGGTGGGGGATGGGCTTTTTAATCCCCCCAACGACACACTTTTTTGTGGTAAGCAGAACATTAAAGCGAATTATGAAGAATTGCTCAGACTGTTGTTCACATCAATATCATGAATATCGATCATATAGAGTCACGCGTTAACCCCCCCTTTCAAATTTTCCTGACGGGGCAAGTCACCCCCACCTTTCGCCACTTCCCCCCTCCGGCACAGATGTACGCCCCTGTCTATTACAAGTAGCAATCGGGGCTTATTTTCCCAATGCCAATAAGAATTGTTTGTCGGGATCGGTTGGCATATTCGTGGAGACATTTTCGACAATATGTGAACTTGTCTGTCATTTCACTGGCTATCACGCAATATTTTTCGCGACGCTCAGTAAGAATCATGTGAATCCTCTTATATTCACAATTAGTTTCACAACAGCTGCGCTTTTGTCCAGAATTCAACCTTGCTCTCTATATTCAAAGGCGTAACCATGGGATTTGTGTCCAGAGGGCAAAATGGGCCCAGGACTGTCCAGACTAATCCCCTCAGCCTCCCACAGAATGGCATTCGCATTTTGAACTCGTACAAATCCTTACAAAATACTGTATTAAAACCCGGGAGGGTTTTCATTGCGTTCGTCTATTCATGCATGTCGTTGTCTTGTTTATCCGTGTCCGTCAGGTTTCAGACCTAACTGTTGTTAACCGGTTAATTATTCTAACCCAGTTGTGGCTTATCCGATAATCTCCAATGCATTGCTAAACAAACAAAATAATTTTCTGGTATCATTTTTTAAAATCAATAGCATCACTGTAATAAAGGTATTTAGAATCAACGAGAGAAATGAATCGCCGGGTATAATAACGCACAATCGAATGCAGTCTGGATTCGGTTAAACTTGAAGTTAAAGCAAGGACTGAAATGCAATAATGTAACAGGGACACTGGAACTAAGACTAGCCACCAGGATTTCCCCTCGCGTTTCCTAGTCCATGGACTGGGAGGGTGGTCCCAGGAACAGAAGCGATCGGACTCGGCACTGACGGCGGAATCGGGGTGTGCCCGCCCCCTCCCACTTTTTCGACTGGGGGCCTCCCCCCGCAGGTCCTATAATTGGATGGGGCTCAGTGGATCGACCGTTTAATCGTTTGGCTGATGTTTCATGATATAACACGTCCCCCCTCCCCGAAAATTATTCCGCTGCCATTGAGAATCGGTATTTATGTCATTATTTTGTTATCTTCGGTATGCTCCAACAGTTTTCCTGCCTCCACTTTTCCGTCGTCCGCAAGCCTTGTGTCCCATAAACTGAATTGCTTGACTTCAAATATGTCGTGGCGTGATGCCTATCTTGGCAACGAGATTAAAGCCGTGTCCTTAAGCAGCCTAAGGCTGCATCCGAATCTGTTGCCTAGAGCTAGGTCTTCGCTCGATTGGAAATGTGCAGAGATGCGTAGACAGCTTTGGAAGCCCGTTTCGGACGCGGCCTCAGCTTAACTCTGGCGCGGCGGTAGAGTAATGAAATTCCCAACACTCAAACAGCTAACTTCCAAGATGGCCGAACAGAGGAACGAGCATGACGAGCCGAGTTTGGCAGAAGTGATTCAAACTTCGCCCCCAAAATCCAGTGTTGAGTCTGACAGTGTTGTGGAAACTGCTGAAAGAGATGGAGACAGTTCCGAACTTGATGATCTTTTGGATAGTAAGTCAGCAAATATTATTTGTTATACGGCCTAGGCCGAAAAACCGTTTTCGTAGTAAGGCACCATGTCATCCCTAACCACTTCGCCCCATTATTCCCACAGGGTGCACCACTACAAATAAATTCCCATAGACAGCAGTGAT